AGACGAGTCGAGTGGGGGACAGAACTCTCGCTGCCACACAGTTTAGAGTGATCCTGCAGGCGCGAGAACACGTCGCACCTCTAGTGATGCAAAGACAGTATCCATTTGGTCTGTATTTGAAGTTAATTTTGGCGAAATCACCTCAACGTCATCTTCAGGCGGAGTTTCGCAGGCATCGACGGAGAGGATCCACTCCGGGACCCTATGGTGCTTCGACGACGATGGTGCCGGTGAGGAACGATCTAGATTTGTAGGCTGAGATTATAGCTGTGATTTGAAGGGATGATACTTGCCGAAGAAATCGGGAGATTCGGGTTGAACCATCGAATCGAAGTCACGGAATTCGGGATCCGGCACGTCGAAATCAGTGCGAATACCAATCTCCAATGGAAGACTCCCCGCTTCGGGACTCGAGCATTGTAGTAACTGGGAACATGAACTATCGCCATTCATGGTCTTTACATTCCGAGACGTTTCTTGGCCAGTCGGTGGGGAAGCCCTGTCGCCACTGTTGCGAGGTTGAAGGCATACACCCCCTTGAAAATCGCCAGTCAACTAGGCCCAGTGGTAAATATCGTATAGCATGACTTACCCGAGGAGATTTGGATGTTGAACTTGTTTGAGATGCGCCTTATGAGCTCAGAAGGCTCGGGGACCTCGTCGTCAGCCTGTACAATGGGTTAGCTTGTATATATATCAAGCTGGTGTCACGCACTTTGTCTAATGTGGAGACCCATTCGTCGTCGTGGGTAACGGCCACCGTTGCGCCAGGGACCTAACCCCGACGGTAAGATGCTTTGAGCTGTGAAGAGCACGTTTTACTCACACAATCAAGGAGATGATCGTTGATGATGCAAGACGGGTGATGTAGCTAAAGGCATCCGACTGAGTTGCGCAGAGATCGACAATCATCATCACCGAACTTACTTTGGGAACGTAGTCAAGCGAATCTTCAAAGATAATTGGTTGACCGAGGCCATCGGTAAAACGTATAGTGTAACTTAGCAGACGAGGCGGTCGACTTGTCGGAGAGCCCATCGTCGGCCTGTCAAATAGGTGAGCGTGCGTATATTGAAGTTGGGGTCACGTACGTCGTCGAATGCTTCGTCGGTCAGCGTTACACCGGGAACCTAAGCCCAGATTGTAAACATATTTCGGCCGATGAAGAAGAGTACCTGATACTCAATCGTTGTTGCGGAACTCACGTTGGGAGCATAGTCGAATGAATACTTTTCATGCGCGGCATTGGTGTTGTTCGAAGTACTTGGCGAGTTCTGCGGAAGACTATTTGGGGTACTAGTTGCAAAGTTTGGTTGGGAAAAGGGGACAAATTTGCTCCTCGACTTTATTTCGGACCACTTCGAGTCAACAATGGGGGAAACTTTCACGGTCCGCCGTAGTACAGTGGAGCGATAAGTGACCTTGAAGCCGCGGAGGAACACAGTTTGATTGGCCCCCCAGGTTTCTTCCCCCGGGTTGCGTCGAGGGCCAGAATCGGTTGAGGAACCGGCACTCTCCCATTCCCATGCGTACGACGTTCCGGCGGCACCAACCTGTGCGGCCTTAAGCTTCAGTGAGAGCTTTCCATCGCCCGAGTGGTTTTCAACCGCTGCGACGCTCCAGGACGTCGACTTGATTACGCCAGTAACGAGGTACAGGTCACCTTCCCCGATCATGCGCCCAAGCTCGCCGTTGACAAATGCATACCAGCTTTCCGCGTGTTTCAGCGCGTAGTCGCGGAAGGCCTGCAGCCCGCGCAAATCCAAGCTCGACGCGCCTTCCTGTAGCAAGAGCAACGCCGTCTGCTTTGAGTTCATCGACACCTCGACGACCGCGTTTGCTCCGATCGGCAAAAATCTGTACATGGGAATGAGGAGAAATCTTATTGGCGGTAGAGATAAATAAACTTGCACGTTGCTTGCGATTCCTGCGTCCACATCGAGGCGTTTCTTTTTGACGGTCGTGTTGGAGACATCGGATCCTGGAGGATGGCAATGGGCTCGTTTTGCGATGTCCCCAGGGCGTAGCGTGACCTGCTCATAGCCCGCAGGGACGCTGAATCGGTTGCTCGGGTCATTGGGTTCTCGAGTAATGTTGAAAATGGGGTCGAAGGACCCATCCCGTGTCACGACTCCAACGTCTCCGATTTGGGTTCCAATTTTCCTGTCCGTCTCAGGAAGGTCATCGAGCGGGTTGGGATTGAACAAAGCATATCCATTGCCCGTCGGGAAGAGTAGCTTAGCGTAGAGTTGACTGTTAGCCATCGTGAGTTTGCCTAGCTGGCAGGCATGGGTGTTGGGTTGTTAAAGCGTATGGTTGGGGGCAAGATCATCAAGAAAGACGCGTACACAGTCGGCTTTTAAAGAGCTGTAGAGATGCAGTGCAAATTGACGCTGTGATTCCGTTATGTTTTATTTTAACTTGACAGTGGCGTTGGATGCCTTCGCAGGCGTTGCGTCCACGTTGCAGATGTAGAAAAAACAACTGCTGTTTCTTCCGATGTGTTGGAAGAACATCGGGTGAGATTTATGCTCCATCAAGAGGTTTTCGTGCCGCTGAGACACTACCTGCAGGGTCCGTTTAACGTGCACAAAAGTACTTGTTTCGGACGCAAGGGCATATGTGTGTGATGTTGTCGTGTTTTATTGTAGAGGGGCGGGAGAAGCTATTAGTACTGCTTGACCGTAACAGCAAGGCGCTATCTGTCATAGCTATGAATGACAGTGCCTTGTGTCTTTTGCTCACCACGCGAAGGCTGAAGTTGGCTTGCTTTAATATGTTTAAGTTCTGCAGTGCTGTGCCCATGAAGGAAGGAGCATTACTCGAGTCAGCACCAAAAATCGTCTTCATGGCCTCCGAGTCCGTGTTCTCCGTACGGTTGCAATTCTCTGCGTTCAATTGATACGAATAGTATCATGGGAATCGGGCGATAACAGTCACCTTATGTACGCGGACGAGCATATGTGTTTTCCCAAATCGCATGCGCACGAGCCAGGAGGACTACACACCGTCTTTACCCTCGCCCACCTGCCCACCTGCCCACGCCGTCCGCGACGCCCATCGCATTCTCACGAATGAAATAAGCATCCTCGCCGACCTGCGCGGCAAGCGGGGCGTCGAAGAAAGAGGTCAGGGTGGCGGATATATAGAGTGCACGGGAGGCATAATTCGAGCGGATCCGCCCGCCGGCGACGCGATGGAGCGCATTGTAGAACCGCGTCCGCCTCATCGAGGAGCAAGTAAAAGTTGGAGTTTTGGCGGAGAATCACACGCGTCACAGTTATCGTTGCCCATCCGACATCTCCCGAGAGCCTATCGATGGAGCTCAAATTCATCTCCGAACCTTTCGCGTCGTTCATCCCGTTTTCGAACCACAACCTGATCGGAACTAGGCCTAGGAACGCCAATTTCTACGACATGTCTCCGACGAGTAATCTAAAGCCATCCACTCATAGCACCCTTCCTTACTTACTCAGACTGTTTTGTTGATGCACGGTGCGTAGGCAGATATAGCACGTCTACCCGTTTTATACCCAAGAATGTGTGTAGGTTCAAATTGATCCTGTCGTCACCCATGTCGCAATTAATAAATGAGAGGAAAAAGTTGGTAAAAACAGTTCATGGAACGACGCAGGACCTGGGCCGGATTCGAACCGACGACTCCCGCTGATGCCAATCGGCTTTCAGCTATTGGGCACGGGTATGTCTTTCACCACCAGATCTCCTGGCAATTCAGCTGGAGTTGTACTATTCACCACTCATCTTGATCTTATTCGAACACGGAACCCGCACGGATAATCGTACGTATACCTCAAGCGACAACGATCGACATTTTTGAACCACACGTATAAGACTTGCTGAATCACTTCTACCACGATTTTAATTCTGCCGTCGCCCTCCATGTCGCGAGTACAGAAGAATAACTAAGAGATGTTGGCAAAATATTTCATTCGCACGGAATAACGACCTGGGTCGGATTCGAACCGACGACTCCCGCTGATGCATTCTCAAATCAAGAATTAGACACGGGTATGATGCCTTCCACCAGGTCTGCTTGGCTTTATATTCGAACATGGGTTGTACTACTCATTAATTCGATTTGCCGCGCGATAATCGTATGTAGACCTCAATTTTTGAACCACACACATAAAACTCATCCTCCATCCCTACTGTCGTTCGAGTGAGGAGTGGGAGCGAAAATTCAGTAAAAACAGTCCAAGATTTATCATGAAGTCCACGGGCCGGACTCGAACCAACACCCGTCCATACGTTTGAACGTTCTTCCTAGCAAACACGGGTATGATGCCTGCCTTTCACCACCAGGTCTGCACACTCAAGTTGTGATTGAGCAGCCAAAGAACTCGTTCTTACGGGGGGCCGTGCAGAAAGTCGGAAGTATTGTATGGACTTCAATACAGAATGATTGGATTCTTACCCTTTATTGACACATGAGGCCTGTTCAACCTCGATCCCCGCTCGTTTGTTCAAGTGAGAGTAAAAATCAGTGCAAGGGTGGTCGCCAAAACCACGACCTGGCCGGACTCGAACCGGAGATGTTGAAAAAAATATCCAAATTTCATCGACCACGACCTGGGCCGGATTCGAACCGACGACTCCCACTGTTAATACCTCATCCAACATCAAGAATTAGACACGGGTATGATACTTTCCCCCACCAGGTCTGCTCGGCCTTGTAATCGAGCTCCGGTTGTACTGCTCAATACTCCGTCCCACGCCGAAAGCGACACGAGAGCGATTAAACCAATCTCACCTTACCTTCACGTTCTTTTCAGCCCACATCAAGTTCTCCTCCATCCCCACTCTCGTTCGTTCGAGTGAGGAGTGGGAGCGAAAACTCAATTAACTCAATCAAGACTCATTGTGAAACCCCTGAACCGACTGAACCACTCCTACCACGATTTTGTTTCTGCCGTCGCCCTGAGTCCAGGTCGCGAGTTCAGGAGAGATATTGACAAAAACATTATGATCTTGTGGACCTATGACCTGGGCCAGATTCGAACCGACGACTCCTGCTGATGCACTCATTAAGAATTACATGCAGGTATGATATGATGCCTTCCACCACCAGGTCTCCTTAGCCTTGTAATCGAGCTGGGGTTGGTTCGAACTGGAACTTGGCATTCCGCCATACGAGAGCGATTAAATTCAAGCCAGCTTGACTTCAAGTTCTTTTCAGCCCACATGAAATTCAACCTTCATCTCAACCCCCTCTACTGAAGGAGAATTCCAAAGATTTGATAAAAAAAATGCCATATATCGAGCACATACAACCTGGGCCGGATTCGAACCAGCAACGCCCGTTCATACGTTTGAACGCTCTTCCTAGCAAACACGGGTACGATGCCTTTCACCACCAGGTCTGCACACTCAAGTTGTGATTGAGCAGCCAAAGAACTCGTTCTTACGGGGGGCTGTGCAGAAAGTCGTAAGTATGGACTTCAATACAGAACGGTTGAGTTCTTACCCTTTTTTGACACATGAGGCCTGTTCAACCTCGAACCCCGCTCGTTCGCTCGAGTGAGAGTGGTCTGAATGGATAAAAAATACAATAAAAACAGTACAAGGGTGGTTGCCAAATCCACGACCTGGGGCGGACTCGAACCGGAGATGTTGGAAAAAGGATATTGTTTCCGCCGATCACGACCTGGGCCGGATTCGAACCGAAGACTCCCGCTGATGCGCTCTCAATGATCAAGAATTAGATACGGGTACACACCAGGTCTCCTTGCTTGTAATCGAGCTGGAGAACTTGTAGTGCTGGATTCGAGCTCCACGTTCCGCCAGACGAGAGCAATTCAATCAAGCTCACCGTACCTTCAACTCTTTTCGAACCGCACCTGTAATAATTCAACCTCCATCTCGTCAACTCCTTCAACTGAGGGAGAATTCGAAGATTCAAAGAAAAAAAAAGGTATATACCCCATTGAACTGACACAACCTGGGCTGGACTCGAACCGGCAACGCCCGTCCATATGTTTGAACGCTCTTCGTTAGCACACACGGGACACGGGTATGATGCCTTTCACCACCAGGTCTGCAGCGCTGCAATCCAGCTGGAGTTGTACTACTGTCCACACTGTAGCTTGACTTCAGCATCCCACGCCAAAAGGAATCTCAGACGAGAACGATTGAGTATTGGATTCTTGCCTTTTTGTGAACCACACATCTAATAGTTCAAATTACATGTTAACTGGTTCGTTCGAGTGAGGGTGAGAGTGAAAAATCAATAAAAAATGCCAAACCTGGGTCGGATTCGAACCAAAGACTCCCGCCGAATGGGACTCATCGAAGTTATAAAATCATTTTTCGTTGAATATTATCTGCTCAGGATCCGTGAATCTGCAACCCGCGGTTACGGTTCTGGTCCGTGTTTCGTACTCCATGGTCGTGGTTTGCCGACGCTAGCCGAATAGCCGAAGTTGGCCGAACTCCCACGGTTCAATGCCGTTGTGAATACTGTCCTAAGATGAGTATAATATGGCCAGATATGTTACTATATCATCACAATGGGTAAATTGAATGTGTAAAGGACTCCAGTCCGACCATGAGCCCAATTCCAGGGGAATTTTATACTCAATCAAATAACATGCTACCTCTAGATTACAGGCCAACAATAGGTACGAGAGCAGGTGATATTAGTATTAGAACTGCCTACATCTCATTATCCTCCCTCCATCATCTCACTTGAACGAGAGGGACACTTACAAGTCGAAAAGGTTACCCGGCCGAGTCCCGGATCAATCTAACCTGATCCCGCTTCAGTACAGTCCAGTTTTGGTCGTTGAATCTTGGTGCCAACCTTGAGTGCAGCTCATCAGAAGCTCTTTCAACATCCTCAGATCACATTAAATGCCCAAAACCATGTACAGGAAGTAAAGAAATGTCCAAAAACCCTGTTCTCAAACCACGAACTTGACACAAAACCACGGTTGTCAACCACGAACATTACTAAATCCGTGGACTTCAACCTCGGTTCCAGACCGAATAATAAACAACGAAAAAAAATGTCATACGAAGTCAACGAAATACGGGTGTCATCACCAGGTCTGCACATAGCCTTGCAATTGAGGTGAGTTGTACTACATGGTCACTCCGCGCGGAAAGTCTGAGATGAGAACAAGCAACTTCAAAATTTAACCATACCTGTTTGAACTACATCAAATTCAATTTCACTCGAATATCCCGCGCGGAAAGTCTGAGATGAGAACAAGTGACTTCCAAATTTAATCAAGTCCCACGTACCTGTTTGAACTACATCAAATTCAACTTCATTCGATTCAGAGTGGACTGAGTGCAACCTGAGTGGGAGATATTCGATATAAACAGTTCAAGTCTTGTTGCGAAGCCCCTGGGCCGGGCTCGAACCGACAATGCCCGTCCATACGTTTCAACACTCGTTAGCAAATACGGGACACGGGTGATTCGCTGCGTCCGATAGATATGAGCAACTTCCGGGGAATCGTGCAACTTATGCGTACGAGACATCAATCGACAACTACGGCAGTGGCGTGAGTGTAGCTTGATAGCGAGTATCTGCGAAGGAATGGTTACGCTGAACGCGCCGAGCGTGTTTACCGATGCTGCATACGCACGAGTTCGAGGACTAGACGCTGAAACACAGGCCGTTGGGGAGTTTCTCGTGCAACTCTTGAAGACAGTCGGGATCTCAGTTCAGACTTTCAATAAAGAGAAGCAGAGGATGGCATAGGAATCAGCGTTCGTGGAACAGAATCGATGATGGAGGTTGAGAGAGAGAATTCAAGAATTGATGGCGGATCGTCGGAGTTCAAGATCACCTGTCTCTAGACGACCTGTCACGCAACTGTCACGGTCTATCAGCATGGCTTCACTGGGCGCTGCACACGAGACTTCCTCATCCGCCCGAGCAGCAGACCGTGCTCTCCTCGCTAAACTAGACGCTGAAATCGATGCGTTACAACTCCTCCTTCGCACGGTGCACACACAGCGGGAACGGGTGAAGGCTCGTCTCGATGCCTACAAGTACCCCGTATTCACCCTGCCCAACGAAATTGTGTCCGAGATCTTCACTCGTGTCCTCCCTGTGTACCCCCGCTGTCCTCCTGCAGTTACACCGACCTTACTGAGCAGTGTATGTCGCAAGTGGCGAGACATAGCTCTGTCTACTCCCACCCTTTGGAGGGCGATATCCATCAGAATACCAATGTATCCCCACATATCGAAATTGCCCCTGCTCGAAACGTGGCTCTCGCGCTCCCGATATTGCCCACTTTCGATCAGTCTCGCGGATAACTGGTATGCTGAGGCATCCGACTCGAAGATGGCACCCTTCGTTCAGGCGATCCTCCCTCAATGCAATCGCTGGGAGTATCTCAGCCTACTTGTCGCGGATCTGGATGTTTTTTCGCTGATTCAAGGCAACATGCCTTTGCTTCGCCATCTGCAAATTGGGGTGACCCCTTTCATGACCCATACGAATGTCGGTCCGGTTGTCCTTTTCCAGCACGCGGCTCAGCTGCAGACAGTCACTCTGCTGTCCTCCCTCCCTCCCGAAATCACCTTGCCGTGGGCTCGGCTTACGCGGCTCGTGGCACAAAATGCAGATCCGGATATGTGTTCCCGAATCTTGGAGCATGCGCCGAACCTCATTTATTGCAAGCTCCAGTTTCGCGGTTCCAAGATTGAATGGGCGCAGCGACATCTTGCATACCTTGAAACTTTGATAATAGAGGACGTCATTGACGCCAGCTACCGATTCAGGGGCCTCATCGACTCGTTGACCCCCTGCCCTACGCAAACTTCACGTCCCGAATAATTTCCTTCAAGTTATACCGGGTTTTGCTGGTGCCTTTGAGGCATTCATAGCGAGATCGGGGTGCAAACTGGAAGAACTGTACATCATCGGTCCCCATGATGTGTCGGCGTCGGAAGAGTATCGTAAAATATTTTCCTCCATTCCGGCCCTCGAAGCGATCGAAGTGGATGAGTATTATGACCAAGACGACGAAGACGACAATCCAGAGCTAGACTTCGACAACTGACAGTTCTGCCGACCTCACCGAAGAATTCGATTGGAGGAGAAACGGATTCGGATCGATGAAGGGTGCAGCAGATGGGCTGAGGTTTGTCCAGTTATCCAAGTGCTTCCGGCCTTGTGAATCCACGGACTCGGTCTGTCGGCCAGATTTTCTCCCCACCGCTTGGCCCCGATATCTTCTTTATTTCACTTGGAAAAAGTTTGCAATTTCCTGCGATCCTCGCGTTCTGCCAATGCATTCCCCAGTTGTATTGACAATTTTGAACCTATCACGAGTTGTAACCTCGCGTACATACCATCCATCCGCAATTACAAATCAGGTGTTTAATTCACCGTGCCTACAGCTAATACAATCTTGCCCCACCGAATTGAGCGAATTCAACGAGGGAAAACCGGAATCGGACTGCGAACAAATATTTAGTCGGAGGTGAGATCTTTTTCAGTTCTTACCGCTATTGTATTCTGAATCTAGTTTGTGAATAATTACCTTGGTACACCTCTCGAGCCCTCCAAGCAAAGAGGCTGCATTTGACGCCAGACAACTTGGACATATTAAAAACGTGTCCGGTTCATCGAATAGTTGGCATTCCGGTTCATCCCGCCAAATGAAATAAAAGCTAATACCTCTTCTGTCTCCCGTCCCCGTCGAACCCGGACTCCTTGAAATGGGACGATAACGGTACGCTCAATGGTACGGATAATACACAAATATCAATATATCTAGACATTCTGAACATGGACACCCCGCTGCTTCGCTGGGAGGGCGAAATCATCGAAGGATCTTTTGTCGTTTGCATATGCCGTCGTGAACTATATGGGCAACGCCGGAAAACAGCTGAATGTACCACATATCGGCTGTAACATCATGTGGGTCGTCATGCGTGGGATACCTGGAGAAGACAGTGGTTCAGATCTGTTCAGATACGGAATGGAACTATATAATGACTGGACTTGCCCCTTGATGACTGTTTTCCAAATATTTCACGCGGTGTCGTAAATACTGAATTTCATCGTATAACGCGTACAGTTCGGTGCATTTGACGGATAAAGGAGAA